AGGAATGCATTTGACTTATGGGTGTTAATTTTTTACCCTGCTACTTTGCTGAATTTACAGATGCAGAAAAAGCATTTGACAAAACACAGAACCCTTTAATGCTCAAAAAAGTAGAAAAAAATAGGGATAACAGAAACATATCTCAACATTATCAAAGCTACCTATGCTAAACCCAAGGCCAACATCATTCTAAATGGAGAAAAATTGRAAGCATTCCTGCTAAAAACTGGAACAATACAGGGATACCCCTTTCTACCACTTTCATTCAACATTATCCTTGAAACTCTAGCCAGAGCAATTAGATAGACAAAAGAAATTAAAGGGAAACCAATAAGAAAAGAAGAACTCAAACCATTACTATATGTTGATGACATGATTCTATATTTAGAAGATCCAAAAAATTCCACCTGAAAACTTCTAGAACTAATAAATGAATTCAGCAAAGTAGCAGGATATAAAACCAACACCTATAAATCACTATTTCTTAACCAAACAGCTGTGACCATGTTTTGTTATTTTCTACCAGCATCCTATGGTAGAACCTTTAAGAAGAGGCATTCAAAATCTTGATACATAGTAATAAATTCTCCTGGAAATTCTTGTAGCCACCCWCTCCCAAGCTGTTCAGGATAGGATACAGGCCAGGCTCTCTCAAGAGGTTACAATTTTACTTCAGTAGGCTTTTCCTGAATGTGTTAATTTTTAAAATCAACTTTCAATTCAAAAAAWWTTTTTTTCATTTTAAGAAAATTTCTAGCCAGCAAGAATAAAATCAATGTAATCTGAGGTTATGATGCAGCCAGTAATTGTGTCTTACATGTTATCAGCCAGTAGCCCTATTCTGTTTTCTTCAGAAGAAAGCAAACATGAAACAATGATTGAATGCATTTTACTAGAATGTAGGAACAGAGTTTTAAAGTCTTGATATAAACAATATTTTGGTCTTAAACCCAAAATTAAATTTTATTTTTTTAAAGTTCAAAAATTTCATTGTGAAATTCCAAGTTAAAATGATCTCTGTGAATATTCCCATTCACCCAGGGCTGGGTGTTTTCTGGCCCCAGGAATGATCTCTGTCTTTATCTGTAGGTGAAACGCTGCCTTTGGCTACATCCAATCAAATYCTGCTTCGATTCAGCGCCAAGAGTGGGGCGGCCGCCCGGGGCTTCCACTTTGTTTATCAAGGTAAATGCACCCCCTGTCCCCCTCCTCTGCTCCTCTAACACTGCAGCTCCACCCTCTTCAGACAAGTCATGGAAGTATCCAAACCACACTTTTGTGATATTTAAGTAATTGAGGATATTTATAAGATAAAATTATTTAATGAAAATATTAGTTGTTCTTTCAACWCCTGGATTTTCTATTTCTACTCCAGATCATAATATCTCATTTATCTAGCACTCTGTGGAGACGGATCTTTATCCTATGACCTTTGTGTAGCTCTKCGCTTCTCAAAGTGTCTGCAAATATAATATTTTATCTGATTAAGKAAACCATTTCATTATAGTTTATATCTTTGCAAGGACTTGAATGAAATACACTTAATCAGGTAATCCACTTGTTAYTGGGAAAATTAACTTAAACAACAATTTAACAAAAAAAAACTTATGCATCTCCCACTTTACCTACCTAATTTTGGTTGGTCATGCTTTATTCACTTTTAGCTCTTCTACATCATTTCTGTTTATTTTTAAATTTGGAACTCATTAAAAATAAACTTGGGATTACTTCATAGATTTGAAGGGTGAAGAATTTTACCTGAGTGTGGTTTACCTTTTTTGCACCTTCATTGAGTGAGCTTAAGAAACTGCCAGGTGACYGCATGCACATTTGGGGATGAGAGCAGGGGCAACATGGGACTTGTCATGATCACAGTTGSGGGGTGGGAATCTGGGAGAGACTTTTCCTTGTAGAGAAAAACTGTCCAAACATAAGGCGTGATCTTGATCCAGTTTTCCYCTAGGCTAGAGAGAACACTACCCACCCCTAAATATTCTCTTTCAGTTGGAAGGAAATAATTTTTCAGCAATGACACCTTTCCCTTAACAAAGACTTCAGAAAGCATCCTTGATATATTATGTTTTTCAAAAAAAATATGGAGGATAACAAGGTCGTATAATTTATATATCCTAGCTAATAATYTCACATTGCAAAAGCCATGCCATCAAAATATTTCACTATAAAAGAAGCCTCAGTTTTCAGCAATAAGAATATTTAAAGAATAGTGGAAAGAAAGTGAGAATAATATTTGACAGATAAGTAGGAGGCAAACTACCTTTGAACCTGGTTTAAGCAGCAGTTGATTGAGTCTCTATGCTATTGATTTARATGTCACCACCTTGCTATAAGCTGTAGCTCTTGTTAAATATGAACAATTAACTAGTATCTCTTAAAAATTATTAGGAGAGAGACCAATTTAAAGAGCCTACCTCTTGCCACTCCTAATTTTCTTCAAATAAATTCTAAATTAATTTGCAAAAGTATATTCGCAAGCCAAAATTCATGTAATATATGTAAAGAAACTGAACCAATTGATCTAAGTATATTTTTCCTCCTGAAAAAATTCAAGTCATTGGCATTCTCTACATTCTCTGCCTTTCTAAGACACTTGCTTTGATTTTTTATAAAGATTAGAAAATTGTTAGATATCAGATGAAATATCTTATGCAAATGACTGAACATCTTTTATCTTCAAATGTTATCATCAGAAAACATATTTTGAAATCATGTTTCCTTGTTTAAAAGCATGCATGATTATTAAAAGAAAAGCAGAGAGTAAAGAAAAACATAGACGGAATCGAGTTTCCTTGTTCTGAAGAATATAAATGGCTCTAATATCTTCAATATTTTATAAAGTCCCAATATACCCTTTTTTCTTGCTTTTAACCAGTGAGGTTATGCAAAAGTCAGGGTCTTTTTTCATCAGAGCTAACTCCTTTGCAGATACAGGGAGAAGACAATGAATGCAATTTACAAATCACTCAACAGCAATGGGGAAATTTTCAATACCTATGAAAGGTAAATTGAACATGGCTTCTTGAAAGGTAGTTGTTGTGTTGAATGTTGAAGCCCCCAAATTACTTGAACTCTCTTGTGTGAAAGTTTCCTGAACAGTGCTTCCTATGTTAGTTACAGCTTCCTTCTTTTGTGAATTACTAAAGCTTAAAATTGCACAGTGACTTTATGACTCCTCTGGTGGCAGGTGATCCAGCTCTTGTTCCCAGACAGCTCAACCGTGAAGGACTGCTGGGGACAGATGAGCAGGGTCACAGTGCAAGCTCCTCCTCCTGGGGCCGTTGGTGGCTCTCTGCTCCCTGCCCTCCAGGTCAYCCTGACACTAACGTGGAGACTTCAGTAACCATGATGCTGCCATCTCTCAAACTTGTGGAGAGAAAGAAAAGGACATGTGCATAGGGCCGTTTTTTTCACAAAGTGTCCTGATCATCCTAGGTATTTGCTGGCTTTCATTCATTTGTTTTCCACCGTCCTTGAGAGTAGGAGCTTACATTTGGAAGCCTGAGGGCAGGAAGAGAGAGTTGGTACACAYGGAAGGCCAAGAGTCCACCATCTGCACAATGCAGCAGTTGGCTCTTCAGCATGGGTCCCCCCTGAGCTGGAGCCTGGGATGCGGTGGAAGTGCATGGCTGTTTGGGGCTCTTCAGTGGGAACTCAGGGTCTGGCTACTCTCTGGGAGCAGAGCAGCATAGCTCACCATGACTGTGAGCAAGAAGGACTAGTGGGCAGGGGCTGGGGCTGTGGCTCAAGCGGTAGCGCGCTCGCCTGGCATGCGTGCGGCCTGGGTTCCATCCTCAGCACCACATACCAACAAAGATGTTGTGTCCGCCAAAAAAGAAAAATTAAATATTAAATTCTCTCTCTCTCTCAAAAAAAAAAAAGGACTAGTGGGCAGCCGAGGTAGGCGGCTCAGTTGGCAGCCACGTCCCTGTGGGCTCAACACCCTTCCCTGCTGTGGCTAGTCTGACCCAGCAGCCCAAGCACCATCCGCGGGTCTGAGGCAGTGTGGTGGTCAGTGTGGTGGTCAACAAACTTGGGAAGCAGAGGTGTGGTGAGAGCTCGTCCTGCGGGGAATGGTCAGCATGCCCCCTGAAGTGTGAGTGTCTAGGAGGGCTGTGGTCCTGCTGTCTGACTTGGTGGCCTTGGCGTTATCCCTGCACACGCTAGCTTCCTGAGGACTCGAGTGGGCACTTCTCGCTCTGGAAGGCCAGGCATGTTTAGTCTTGCATGTTTCTTCTTAGATACAAGCAGGGTTTCCTTACCAGGTTCCTACCCCCCAGGAGTTCCTGGGGAGGGACTCCTGTCACCCCCTCTGCATTTCTGAGTCCCCTGACCCTTGCACTGCCAGGAACAGAGAGGGGCCGGCAGAGCCTGGGATGTGCTACTCAGTCGTGGGATCCTTGCAAGTCCTCAACAAAGGCCAGTGTAATCTTAGGTAGAGCAAAGGTAAAGAACTGCACACAGCCTTACTTAGTAAGTCTCTTCTAAAGTCTTAGAAGAGGCCTTTGACTCTGTTCTGTAAAGTCATCACTTTGCATTAGAAACATTTTGGTGACACCAAGTAGATGCCTCTCAGTACTGGAGTCCACACTGGAATGAGTGGATAGGCTAGTAGAGGCCAGCTAACCATGGCCACAACCCTCCTGCTTCTTGCTGACCACAAGGCAGGTGCCCCTGGGGCAGGGTAGGGAACACTGTTTACACCTTCTCCTCTGCCCTCTCTGTCTGGTGCCTGTGACTGTCTGAGGGGAGCTGGCACCTGAGTCTATCATCAATATCAGACTGCCTTTAACGCTCCTGAGAGCTCGCGAGGTGTGCACAGCCTGCAGTTCCGGGCTGCCTTCAGCCTCCTCAACAGAACTCATACCAGAATTATTAAACTAGAAGGATCTACTGTACGTTTCTCCTAGCTTTAGTAAACTGTAAAGGTTCACCGTCGATGTCTTGGGGGAAAGGAAGCCATGTGTCACAACACCTCCCTGTTGGGAGCAGTTTAGAAGTGGCAGCTCGCCTTCAGTCTTTCCATGGCATGGGTGCGGGGTCACCAACCCTGACCAGTTTTCCCTACTGGCCACCCAGCAATGCCTGAACATCATCCGCCCTGAACCACCTGCCCAGAAAAGCATCTCACTCCCAGACACGCCCACCCCCTGGCCACGCCCACAACCTCAACCTATTCCTGGCCACTCCCAGAACAGCTTCTTACTCCACATTTTTCCAGGTCTAACTCTCCTTTTAGACAACATGGAGGCTTAGTTTCCCCCTTTAAGATATTCCCATTTTATRTTAAGAGCTTATTAAATGTACAGCTTTTACAAAGAAGTTTCAGCATAAATTTTATTTGTAATCTGGCAATAAATGTCTAAATTCCCCTGCTAGTAATGACCTGTCAAATCAGATGTCTCAGAGCCAGAGGGGAAGACGTTGGAAAGCAAAGAGAAGAGACAGATTTTAATATCCCAGGAGGTGGGAGAGGAGAAAGCTGCAAAACTGAGACTAGCAGGAGATGAAGAGGCAGGAGATGTTCTTCAGTCACTAAGGGAAATAGGAGAGTGCCCCAGGTGGACGCTGCAGGCCAGTCCTACACCTGCCCCAGGTGGACACTGCAGGCCAGTCCTACACCTGCCCCAGGTGGACACTGCAGGCCAGTCCTACACCTGCCNGGTGGACACTGCAGGCCAGTCCTACACCTGCCTCAGGTGGACACTGCAGGCCAGTCCTACACCTGCCTCAGGTGGACACTGCAGGCCAGTCCTACCTGCACTCAGGTTTGTTTTCTTGGGCATATCTCCTGCACCACCCACGGCAGGAGTGCAGCAAGAGAGCTTCACGCACACATCTGTGGTTGTGTCTGTGGTGGTGACAGATGATTAACAGAGCCATCACCTGGTGCCCACTAAAGGCACACACCCGTTCCTGGTGCTTCCACTCTGGGCCCTGCAGCAGCACTGGTCCCAGGCCACCCAGCTGTCTGGCCTGTCACCTTGGTTCTCCAGCATGACCTTGCTCTCTGCCCACTTTTCACTAAAGTGTTCCTAACTGGTAGAGGGGAGTCACAGTGGGGGGCGGAGGCTGTGTGAAGGGCCAGGGAAGGTGGGGCCTGAGGGCAGACCCAGAGGGCTGGGTGCAGAGAGTGCTGGGCTCTCCCCCAGACACACACATGCAGGCTC